TTTATAACCATCGATACCTTTTCTCAACCCTCTCACTCACTGGTCATTTCTTCCAACGAACAGTTTTTTCTTCTGTCTTTATTGTTACTGGTTTTGACCTTCGTGAATGTACTTTAGGATAGTGCTTCATACTCAGTAACTCTTTGAAGATCACACTTGACTATTTGGAATTCAAAGCGGTTACTAACCTGATCCTGGAATCATGCCTGAACAGCTAAATCTTAGAGCTCACTTAGCCCCCGGTTTTGGGACCATTAGAAAACCCGTGAAACTTCCCATTTCCGAATAAATTGCTCAACAGATTTAAAATCCCACAAAATTAGCGTTTTTCCCAGGCTCGAATTCCACCAACTTTGGTCAGTTTCTTGCCAGTTGAACCCGTTCCATCCTGGTATCGCTCAGGTATGACGTGAGTCATGCCACTTCAATGACCTCAGTTGTCGTGGTGCCTGAGAACATGAGAAGGACATGTTGTGCGGTTGTTTTCGTATGGTCTTAGTTTCACTCTCGTGCCCCTTCATATCGAACCTCCATTAATTTTTATTTTTGATTGACTGCTTTTGTAGGAAATCTGCGGAAACTGAGGTTCCGCTGCATAATACTTATTGTCTAGTTTTTTCATAATATGAATCATACCTTAGCCTTTTGTACGTATTCCTTTGACTCCTTTCACATTAAAATAATTTTGTCCGTTTTGAGGAACATTTTCATAAATCGCTGGTTTCTCTACGATCTCGAGCCATGTTTCTTTTAAGAAAACGCCGTCGTGCATACTTTAGCAGTTCAAGTCGGCAATAAGAATGACAGTTGAATGAGCGTATTCTCTGTTGCAGGAATACGCCGGCACCGCCGTCCGTTCCGCTGCTCGCACAGCACTTGTGGTCATCCGCTTGAGGTCGTACTGGCTTTCGAACTTCTAATACACGACGTCCTATGTGGACATTAGTCCTAATCCACATCGTCTTTGCCTTTAAGGCGGTTGCCGCTGCACCGGTGAACCTACCTCAAACTATCTGTAAGTTCCTTCCTCTTTTACTATTTCCATCCATTCCCAGTTCCTCGTTAGCCTCATTTTTTTTGCTTCACAACGATTACGTCTCTTTGATCCTTTCGTGTGACGGCTGAAAATTATGTAAGACCGTAGACCGTATCGTGCGTTCAATGAGCCGACAAAATGGTTCAGTTCTGGTTTGATCAGCTCTTCTTTATCGTCGAGGTTTCTTCACGCTTCCCGTCGGATATAAGGACAATGAACAGGAAATGTTTGAGATCTGGAGTGCAAGAGAAATGCTGGATGTCCGAAACACTGCTCATTGTCGTGTGACATCCACATAAGGGGATCGTAATCAGCCTGGCAAAGTTGGACTTCTTTCTGCATCATGTATGCCGTGCCATGGACAGATGGCGCTCATTCTTCCATATTTCGTGGTATTTCGGGGATCTTTCGATGATTAGCCCATGAGCACGGTGGCGTTCTTCTACCCATATCTGTATTTTGGGTATCTGAACATGTCACCATTCGCACACATAGGGCGTCTTATAGAAAACACCATTTTTTTATGATCCACAACGGTGGGACTCAGAGTGGTCGAGATCGATACTCACATGAGAGACTTTTCTCCATTGCTGATTTGATTGATTGTTCTCTCCCATTTCAGCTCACTACTAGACATCTTACGTTTTACATTACCGCAAAACCGCTCCCCAGGGCAGGACTCGCTCAGCCCGACATATACTGCTCCATCGGCAAATTCGGAGCTGACAGCACGTTAGTACTCAGACCGCATGCTCATACCCCGAAGAGACTGCCAGGGTTCAGAGATGGCGGTCTCATTGGCACACCCACTTCACCCACGGGCGGGCGAGTGAGCGGTCGTTCCCATGGCGGGCGGGAAAAATCGGTCAGTTTGCTACAACCCTACCACGGTCGCCTTTATACGACCCTTCGACCTCATACTTTCCACGCTGTCCTTAAGGTTAATATGGAAGAAGATGTGGTGTGAATTCTTGTGAAGCTGGAGCAAGCTCGTCGAGCCACCATGGTAAAACCTGTCAACTCTTGCAAGCTCATGAAATAGCTTTCTAGATGGGTCGAATGTCGATAGGAAGTAGCAAAAGGGCTAAATGCCCCCCCCCTTGCCGCCGAACTGCCCCGGAGGGTGGATATAGTGCACATAATGGTAGAAGCAACAAATTGAGAGAAAATTTTCTTATTTTTCGCACTCTCCGTGCAGCTCCTTTAAGTAGGCCGAATACGTACATACGACCTCCATGGTGGGAATTCAGAATTCTTTAACGATAGTGTGCACTTCCTGAACCCTCAGCGACTTGTATTGTGTTGGGAGAAGAAGAAGAAGATAGGAAAATGTCGTATTGATGAACAATTTCCGACATTGTCAATGATAGGCCTTCGTCTAAACTACCTAGACATTGATGGAATTTGGAATGTGAACTCCAGTCTGCAAACCAGTTGAGAACTTTCCCCTTTCTACGACTTTGCTATATTGATCATCGTCGTTTCCATGAAATTAGTTGCAGTTCAACCGATGGCTAACAAACTAATAGAATGGGCTTTTTTCTGGATGCTTTATCGTTCCGACTGGGTGCAAGATACCGCAGCCCGCATTAGAGCGTAGTTTCCGATCTTGCTTTTACCAGTTTCTCTCATTCGAATTCGCCAGTCACGATACGTACAGGAATGTATCCCCATTGATCAAACTCCACAGGCAAAACCTCCATGTCAATGATGAACGCGTTTTGCTGTTTCTAATCTCAATGGGCGAAATGAAAGTCGTCTACAGTCACACACACCCACACCACCCACACATCAAGCAATTATACAAAGAAACTTCTTCCTACGTTGATTTGCTTTGTCTTTTTTTCTCCACTGAAAACGACGGTGTCCATTTCGCAAGGGTAAGGGTGGAAATACGAGGAAAATCGAAAGGTTGAAGGGAAACTGGTCGGGTTTCTCCCAGCAAATCCCTCACTCTATTCAATTGCATGACAACAACGACAACACGTTCAAGGAAAGGTGTTCGGCTGGCTAGCATTGTCCTGTCATCACTTGAAGCAAGCGAAATTTGGCGGCGAAACGAACAGCACGGCTAAAATCACAGCTAATTCCGGTCCCTCAACAGGTTATCATACGCGAAAGGTCCTTCAAATAAACGCGGCTATCAGTCTTTGAGACTTTCAAGGTCTTCAATAGCCACGACTTCGGGTTATCTGCTGAACGATTACAAAAACGCTCACGCGCCGAAATATTTTTCAACGCGTTAATTTCCCAGCAGATGAATCCCACGTAAATCTTCGTGAATCTCGGTCCATCAATTTTTCTCCAATTATTTGCTGTCCTTTTAAGCGGACTGGATCGATTTCGAGGAACAGCCAAGCCTTTGAATTTCCCTATGGTGAAAAAGCGGTCTGGGGAGCCATTCGCTAGGCGATATTTGACGATCGTCCCTGAGCAGAGCGTTCATGGCCATTCCTGGCGTCAACCACCTCATCGGCTTCGAATCTTTTCGCCTTGTTACGGCTCATTGCATAGCGCAAGCGCAAGGTGTTGCCTGAGAGAGAGCGGAACTTTCACTACGCCAAATCTGTCATCATTAGAGACAGGGGTTGCGGGGATAATCCCGAAATGGCAGCGAAAACTGCCTGGGGACAGCTGCTGCCGTCGTCATATGACCAGTTCTTATGGCGGAAGAACTTCCGTCAGTTGCGAATCCGATGTTTGCCGAGGTCACCCGAAAAAAAGTGTAGCAGTATCATAAAAATGGCTACTCTTTGCACCGTTTTACTGGTGACAAGGGAGGCTTTTATTTAGGCATCTCTCTGATTATAGCGCGATAGAACAGCTAGGGGGCAAAGACAAGGCACATCATCGGTTGGGCATTTCGGTCGAGTCCGAACTACCCCCTTCCTGAAAGCTGGATTTAGTTCCCCCTAGTTCCCTCCTCTGCATGGGTTGGGGATTTCGGTCTAGTATATAACCCCCGAAAGGTGGCTTGATAGGATCCCTAATTCTCTCCTCTGCACTATTTGGGGTTCTGGTCGAGCCCGTACTACCCTCCTACAAGCTGGCTTGATAGAACTCCCCCCCCCCTAGTTCCCTCTTATGATACATAGAGCTGTCGAGCGGAGAGGGTATCTAGCAAATGTGAAGCGGGAAAAACAGCGAGGAAAATGCTACTCCCCCCTCCCCCATCCTAGCCACCGCTTTCGTGGACTTTCCCAACTTCGCACCAATTTTTTTTCCAGTTTTTTTTGTGGGATTTGCTCAAGTTTTTCCTAGTTTTCCCCCAAGATTTCACCGTGCGGTCGAAGTTAAGGGGGAGTGATATATTGCACATACGAGACAGGAAAAACCACGAAAAGTCAACAACGGGGAAAATTTTTTCCAACAGCGCAAATTTCTCTAAAAACGCTACAACCCCCTTCCCTCCGCTCCCTATAACGAGCAAATACGACCCTGTTTCTTATAGCGTCCATGAAAGAAGAGAAATCATCTATCAAAAAAAGCTTCTCTGACAAAATGCGAACCCCCCCCCTCCCCTCCTCCAGCTACCAAATACGACCTCCATTTGGGGAATCCTCAACGATGATGTGCCCTGGGCAAAGAGCAGAAGTGTAGCGTTGCTAGGCTAATGAACCGTAAAGAGAAAAAAAGCAAGCCGGGCGGCACAATTCGCGCTGTTGAGATCGAATTAGGGCTTTCAAACTCAAAACCCATAGAGCTGTACATTGAAAACGAAAAACTTCCTGAAGAGGCTACACTTTCTAGTTCTTTAGATTTGGGGAAGCTTCATTCCAAAGCGCGTCGATCATTGAGTGGATTAGAAGTGGCTCAAAATGTTCACGTTCTGTATCCAATTAGCTCAAGAAGCACTTCTGAAACGATAAAGTACAGTTCACAAACGTGCACGTCATCGATTGTCACGACGGTGTTTTGTGACAGCCCACAGACAGTAACTAAACAAATATCGTTCGACTGTCCCCAGTAACTGGTTATTATGTATGGCTTGTGATGAGTGGAACACACCAGAGTACCCCCTGAAAGAAAGCGTTCAGTTCAATCTGTTTCATTTCAGCTTGTCCTGATGATAAGATCTACGTGTACGTGAACGACTCAGCCCACGACAGGACGCCGTACGTGTTCGTCGAATTGTTCGCGGATAGTCTACAGGTATGGTATCCTCAGATTTGAGGCACGGTCCGCGATCAGGTATGGAAGTTGAAAATATGGCGTCGGGAGGGTAGTATGGTCCGCGCCGAACAACCTTGTACCGGTTTCGCGGCAAAAAATTGTAAGGGAGGGCGCTATAGCGCAATATAGGTTCAGTGACGCCTCCTTTTTCCAGTGACTCCGCCTCCAGACTCCGCCTTCAAGGCCCGCCTTTCAGTGAAAAACGAAGCTGCAGGACGAAAAAGCATGAAAATCGTCACTTGTACGGTCGTAGAGTTCTTATCGGGGAATCAGCTGTGCGGATGGGGATGTAGTGTTGAAGATGGACTCAATTAGGCGCCTGCAAATTGGGATCGGAACGG